GGCACGACAGACAGTTATGGCTCCTGAGGAAGAAATAGAGAGATGCGCTCTGTCTTGCAAAGGTATTTTAGACAACTTTTGAGAAGTGGGCTACGCAGAACCAACTTGCTCTATTGATTATGCTGGATTGAATATATAGCGCTCTCAGGGGATGAAGACAGATATGAGCACTAAAGCTGTTTTATGCGCAAGTTACTGTCTGTATGTACTGAGCCGCTTTAAATATTAACTTTCTATATTCATATTTTAATATCCAAAAGACATTCTATTTTACAGATAAGTGGCCTGTAAATTTCCATCAGAAAAAACGAATACTCCTTCCTGATTTTATTTTCTAAAGTACAAGGTTCAAGAAAAAAAAACTTTTGGAGAAGAAAAATGTGTTGCTTCAAAATGAATGATTAAAGTTTATTCTTCGTCTAGGCAGGCAAGTTAGATTATAAAATGAATGACTGGAACAAAGCCAGACGGAGCGGCTTATGACATGGGGTTTTGTTAGTTCAAGTTTTAATTTTTCTGATAAGTATAGATTCACATGCAGTTGTCAGAAATAATACAAGGGTCCTGTGTCCCCTTTGTCTAGTTTCTCTGAATGGTAACATCTTACAAAACGAGAGCACAACAATAGGTGTGTCATTGTAAACTGATATTCTCCAAGTTGCCTATCAATACTATCCACTGTGGATGTTCTCGACCCCACCTGTAATTGTGTACTGCTATTCCACTGAATTTATGATCCATGTGTGACCAACAAAGCAACTGAATCTCCATTACTCTAAAATATTGGAAAATTTATGAACTCACTTTGGCACTTTAAAGATTACAAAAATGAAAGAAGTTTCTAGGTTTATGCTTAACAAATAAACACAAAGAACAACACAGGCTGAATTCTGAACCCTCATTTCTAAACCACCACATACTGAAATCTTTCAAGAAAAACAATTCCATGAATGTAATTTACGAAGTTTAAAATGACCTATAAATGGCTGCCACTTTTAAGAAGCCCCTCCTATAGAATCATCTTAGATTGTTTATGACATGTTGGCCTATCTAGTACCATGTCATGAATGTCATAGTAATACATACAGCTTGGGAAGTAACAAGGATTTCTTTCTACTTCTCAGAGCCGTGCTTAAGTTTCTGAGACTCATTCGTTGTTGGATAGCTGTGTCTAAAATCGAATCAAGCACAGGCACTGGCTGAGACGCAACAAGTTGTGGATCACTCTGGGAAGTCAGCAGAGTGACAGACTGATAATCAGCTTCTGGAAGACCAAGGTCATGAATCAGCACTGAGTGAACCCTATACTCCTCTAAAACCTGTCATTGGAGATACCGAGCTGAAAGCTGCCACGGAAATGTGTTACCCTTGCAGAAGGCTGTCAAGCATTGCAAGTCGAGTAGAAAACCCTATCAGAGAGCCCAGTGAATTGCCCTTGGCAGGCTTCCAAGATGTGGCACTGAGATGGCATTCGGCTCCCAGATCTGATTACTTCCAGTGTGGCAAAGCTGCCGTCCACCACACTCAGGTAGTCTGAGGGTCATACTCCCGTGACAGTTTCTCAAAGGACATTCCTATTTGAAATACAAAGCAGGACCACTGGCAGGAAAATTCTGAATTGTAACAATAAGCACGCATTTCCACTGGGAGAGAGGAGGTGTTGGCGGTGAACAGTTGTGCGCAAATAACATAACAATACACACGTTTGTGGTGAACAGCTACTCAAATGCTGAACCAAGGACAGGACGGGGTAGCCTGCTATGAAAGCACGAGAGAACTGTTTATGGGGACATTATGAAAAAGAGCCCAAAGCCGGGAATCACTGTGCTGAGTGAGCGGGAGACAATTCTATGAGCAAATCAGGCCAACCCAAAGCAAGCAACCATCACTAATCTCAGACAAACGCTGCTTTGGAGAAAGAAAATGGATCCAGAAAGTTGCACGTGCAACCTGTTGGGTTAAAAGAAAAGGCAACTCGCCCTGGCCAGTTTGGCTCAGCGGTTAGAGCGTCGGCCTGCAGTCCTGAGAGACCCGGGTTCGGTTCCCGCTAAGGGCACGTACTTTGGTTGCAGTTTGTCCCCGGCCCTGGTTGGTTGTGCGGGTGGCAGCCACTCGATGTGTCCCTTCACGTCGATGTTTCTCACTCTCTCTCCCTTCCTCTCTCTCCCTCCCACTGTATCTGTACAAAAAATGGAAAAATATCCTCGGGTGAGGATAAAAAAAAAGAAAAGGCAACTTTGTGACCGATAATATGAATGGAACCAAAGGCTGATGGTGAAGTCATTGTAGCCCAGCATTGCCAAGGCTCATAAGGGGTTAGTAAAAACAATGGAATCATTGAGATTGGGGTGGGGGTTGGGAGGACATTTGCTTTAATGGGTTAGGGTTAAAAGAGTTCAAAATTAAGATATGAAATCTATATTAAGCATCAAAAGAAGCCCAGGTAGCACTAGGCAGAAATATATCATAACACCCCAATGTTTATTTTCAGCCCAGACAGTGGACACAGCAAAGCATTCACTGCTACTTCGATCTATAATAGTTGTACAATAGTGACTAAGAGAGAAGCAGCTCTTTGCATTGGCAATGGTGAACATATGATGCTTTATATTCACAGATCCCAAAGCCCAATTCTCAGAGGTGGGTAAAAGAAAGCAGGAGAATCGAATTGCTGGTCTGAGGGATGAGACCAGCAAAGGGATGAGGAAGTGTTCACTTGCATTCTAATGTAGTAAGAAATACTAACAAAGCAAACCTTCAAAGAAGATAACAAATTTTATTTTAATTTGTGCATTTGCACAGCACCGTCCAATAGAAACTTCTGCAATGACAGAATGTTCTCTCTGTGTGCTGGCTGATAGGGCAGCTGCTAGCCACATGGCTACTGAGCACTTTAAATGTGGTTAGTGAAATACTCTTCAAAGGGATATACAGATTCAATGCAATCCCTATCAAAATCCTAATGGCATTTTTCACAGAAATAGTTAAAACAATCCTAAAATTCCTATAGAATCACAAATGATCCCAAATAGCCAAAACAATCCTGACAAAAAAGAACAGAGCTGGAGGTGTTATACTTCCTGATTTCAAACTACAGTGATACCTCGGTTCTCGAACGCCTCGGTTTTCGACCAAATGGAGATTCGAGAAACTTTTGTCTCGGAATCCGAACAAATATTTGGAACTCGAACTTCCGAGATGAGCCGAGTTGAGCCGAATGGCGTTCATTCGGCCCAGCGCGCCTTGCTTGCGTCATCAGTGTGAGTGCAGAGAGAGAGTCACGCTTTGTGGAGTCACGCTTTCCTATTGGGTTTCATTGCTTCGGTTCTCGAAAAATTCGGTTCTCGACCGTCCTCCTGGAACGAATTATGTTCGAGAACCGAGGTATCACTGTATACTACAAAGCTATAGTAAGCAAACAGTATGGTACTTGCATAGAAACAGACACTTAGACCAATAGAACAGAGTCAAGAGCCCAGAAATAAACCCATGCATATACAGTCAACTACATATGACAAGGGAGCCAAGACTACTCAAGGTGGGAAGGACAGATCCTTCAATAAATTATGGCATAAAAATGGGATATTCACATACAGGAAATGAAACTGGACCCCTTCCTATACCACTCACAAAAATTAACTTGAAATGGATCTAAGCCTTCGAGTTAAGCCTTCCAGTTGGGGGGCTGGGTAAAAAAGATGAAGCGATTAAGAAGCACAAATTGGTAGTTACAAAACAGTCACAGGGAAGTAAAGTTCCGCATAGAGAATACAGTCAATAACACTGCGATAACAATGTATGGTGCCAGGTGGGTGGTAGACTCATTGGAAGGGTCCTTTGTAAATTATATTAATGTCTAACCACTATACTGTGTACCTGAAACTAATATAAAATAATACTGAATGTAAACAATAATTTAAAAATTTTTTTTAAGAAAAATGGATTAAAGCCTTAAATCAAAGGCCCAAAACTGCAAAATTCAGGGGATTGAGGGGGGTGGGAAGACAAAACATAGGAGAAGGCTCCTTGGCGTTGGTCTTGGTAAAGATAATCTGAAGATGGTTCCAAAAACACAAGCAACAAAAGCAAAAATCAGTCCGGCTGATGTGGCTCAGTGGTTGAGCGTCGACCCATGCACCAAGAGGTCGCCTGTTCGATTTCAGGTCAGGACACATGCCTGGGTTGTGGGCCAAATCCCCAGTGGGGGACATGCAGGAGGTGGCCAGTCGACGTTCTCTCTCATTGGTGTTTCTCTCTCTCTCTCTCCTTTTCCCTTCCTCTCTCTCTAAAATCAATGAAGGAAAAAAAAAATTAAAAAAAAAAACAACAAAAATCAATGAGAATACATCAAACGAAAATGCTCTGCACAGCAAAAGAAACAATCAACAAGATGAAAAGGCATAATGTTATACGTCAGTTATATTTCAATAAACCTGGGAAAAAAATGAATAAGTGAAGTGACCCCTTGCAATAACCCCACAAAGAACTGGATGTGTATCTTCTCTGCGTTCAAACACTGCAAATAGAAAACCTAACAAAGCAGGGGCAGGTAGGGGCAGGAAGGCAGATGCGGCTGGTTAAACTGAGGGAGTGAATTTTAATCTTACTTAATTTCAATTAATTAAATTTTAAATTTAAATATCCATGTGGCCAGCAGTCACCCTATTGGACAGATTTTTGAAAGTCCATTCTATGTACTTTACACATATTGACTCATTCAATCTTTACAACCCTATGAGGTTGACACAATTTTGTTATCCACATGTATCATCCTTTTAAAGTCTGAGGCACAGAGTGGTTAATGAATCTGCCCCAAATCACACAGCTAGTAAAGCAAGAGACTGTATTTCAAACTAAGGGCTGGTCCCAAAGCTCTCACTTAGCAACATATTCTCTCTGGCTCTGAGCAGTACAGAAGGGGCAATCACAGTTAAGGTGAATACCAGGGACATCCAGAAAATTCCCCATTGTCTGTGGACAGGTGAGGAAGACATGTCTACCTGTTTTGCCTGTGTTTTTCATCCAGGTTTTGTTAGAAGACTCGTTGTCGAAGCCATCGAGCAGCAGCTCCTGGTACTCCTCGCCAACACGAGCATGCTGGTCCGAAATGTCCACCGGAGACTGGTGACGGCCCCCGCAGCTCATGCTAGACGTCACCCAGTGCTCAGGCCCATAGGTACCTGTCAGAAGAAGACAATACTTCAGTCCTCAGGGCTCAAGGGTCAGGGATGGAGCAAATAAGAAGTAGGAAGTCAAGTCCCGCGTGTCCCACGGCACGTTTTCCCACGTGGCCCCACTCCAAAGCCGTCGGGGCACTGGAGACTATGGATCCAGGCCATCTGCCTGAGAGCGCAGGAGGATCCAAGAAAAGATACGTTTACTTAAGACAGTTGGCTTTGTGATCTGTAATCAAACACTTGCTAACTTTATCGGTAATTAAATTAAGAGTTGAGCAGAAGGGCTATCTTTTTTTTTATTTCACCAAGTTTTAAAACAAGCAGAGAATTTATTCACCAAAAAGCACCTTAACCAATTTAGCATGTTTTGCTATTGTGAACAGTATACAAAACACAATTTCCTTCTTAGTTTCTTGGTAGTTGGTGAACCGGAAAAGGAAAAAATTAAAAATGAAAGCAACACGACATTGGACAAAAGTCATTACAACTCTTCGGTCCACAGGCTGACGCTCTGTTGAGCCAAACCAGCCAGGACAAGAGTCATTACGAATAATGTAGCCAGTGAGGCAGGGTTTTCCTCTGGCTAATTGTGAAGACTTCTCAATTGGGCCAGTTTGTACACTCATGAATTAAGGCACTCACCTCTCCTCAGTCCTCTCGGTCATGGGAGATTGGGATATAAAGTTACCTTCAGATTGGACTCAGCACTCATATTAAGACTTTTTGGGGCCACAGGCCACAGAAATACAGAGAAGATACTATAACGTACAGCCCTAGGGGGTACCAATCAGGAATAGGAAAACACAGTGTATATGCCTCTCTGCTATATTAGAAAGTGAATTGATCTGGGGGCAATGTCCATTAAGTTGATTATCAGCTCTGAGATCTTTCTGCATCCAACCTTTAACTTTCTTGACATGACAAAGCAGGAGTACCTCGTTGGGAAAAAAAAAGACCATTTTCTAGAAAGATTAAGGTAAATCTCTTTTTGGGTTTGATATAGAGTTCAATGTAAACTTGACAATTTTCAGAAGATAGCACTTAGGTTACCCACTCAATAAAGTGCAGTGTATGTATATACACACACAGGTACCTCCTCCCTGCATTTAGCCTTGCATTTCTTCACATATCAAACAGAAGAGGGTCATGGCCAGAGTGACTTTAGGAGACCAATCCATCCAACAACCCATATTTTTTGCCTTGCTCTGGACCTAGCCTTGTATGATGGACAACAAAAAATACCGTATGTTAAATCTCTCTACTACTAAACAAGAGCCCAGACCTGTGGCCGACCTACCATCACATACTTATTTGCCTTGGGTTTCCCCATCCCCCTAAGTTTGATTGTGCTCACAGTTGATACAAATAATGGAACCATGAAAAAAGGGACAGACACAGAAAATCTTTTCGGTCATGCTAATGGAATCTTCATGGCTGCAAGAACAACTGACGTAGCTCCCTAAAAGTGATTCACAGTCTTGCTATCTGGTAAATAACTCGGCCTCATTCTGTGCCTGGGTCCTTTTCCCTAATCCTCATCCAAATGGAAAAATAGAAGACACTATCAGAAAAAAATCTCTCCACTAATTGGCAAAGATGTGGCAACCTTGGGGCACTTTTCAGTCATTTACAAGTGCTATAACACTCTCCAGAAAAAGTAAACATCACCATTTTCTTTACTGCAGGACTCCAACTACACTGGGAATGATGAAGGTATTTTCCCTCACATTGTTTCACCTCTTGGTCAAATTCCCTGGCAACTGTGCTGAGTCATAAAGGAAGAGAGCGCATGAGCACATTTTTGCATGGATCCGAGACAAACTTTGTTTTCGTGGCGCATCAATATATTTGAATTAAAAAAGGAGGGGAAAGAGGACTTAATGAGTGGCTCCAATTATCCCAACCGCTCTTTAAATTTTCTTCCAGATGCCAAAAAAACAAAACATTGTGAAACGGAATAAAGTGATTGCTGATAATTTGGTGGCTAACCAAAATGTAAATGTGGTTAGCTATAATTGGGCCTGCATTTTCCAAATATGGAAACTGATGTTTTAATATCATGTGTGTGTAATGCACTAGTACAATAAAATTATACTCAATGGGAAAAAAATGCATAGTAAAATAAATCTAAACATGTTTGACCCCAAAGAAATAAGAATGCAAGCCATCACCTGTAAAAGCACATAGACACCAGATAATTAACAAACTGATTAAAAAAAAAAAAAAAAAAAAAAAAAAAAGCTCCTCTGCAACCTCTGAAAAGTACTTGATGTTCACATTACTTCTAGACATGGGTGAACTATAATTTAGCACTCCATAAAACTGTAATCGGGGTTCCTACCAGTGGGATTCATTTATTCACTGTAACAATCTGAAGATTTAAGCTGACTATATATGCTTTCATACTTCCACCCAATATATGTTCAAATGCAACTTTAATTGAAACTGATCTTCCACTTCAGATTTTAAATTAATTCTTCTTTCCGTGTTTCATGCTCCAGACACCCTCGCCTTGCAGAAACCCCAATGTCATTAGTGGAGGAAATAGAACACCTTTTCCAAGCTTGAGGGTATTGATTATCTATTCTCACATCGAAGCTCCATGGCCAGTCCACACTGTATAAATCTCTTCAGTGTTAAGATACTTTATAAAGGACTGGAAATTATATCATTAATCACTTGCCATTGCACAAGTCTCATGGTATTGAATGCTTTGTTTTTCAAAACTTTGAATAAATGCTTTTAAGTTAAAAATATGACACTAAATACTCTGCTTAACTTAAATCTAGTTTTTTGGGGGGGGGCAGAGAGGGGGGAATGAGCAGGAAGCCTTCCTCTCTCAGGTATGACATTACCCAACTAAAATAAGAAGGAAAAGTCATTTGCACCTTAGTTTCCCCTTAGTGACTGTTGCTTGAAGGGACAGGAAATTCGCATTTTGGCAGCTGGACCCAATTTGAACAGCTCACCAACTCTGACATGGCAACCTAATCTACAAGGCTACGTTCTAAAAGGGGAGGGGTGAGGCGCAGACAGGGCAGTTTGGACTGCCTACGGTAATTTCCCATGCTGCGAATCTTGCAGGAACGAGATCTTGATGGAGACATGCTGCCAACATGGTACCAAAAGAACTATGTTGAGAAATAGTTTCCTCTTAATGAATTCAACAAATGCATCCAAAACCCCGGACCAAGGTTTGACCTCAGTGTACGCTCCCTCGTCAGGGAGGCTTTGGGAGAAAGGCAGAGGGGTTCTGCACTATCCTGGCAATGGGTTCTTGGTTTCCACTGGACATCTTATTACTATGTAATTTATTGTTTATTCCTAGTGTCTGTCTTCCCTGTCAGGTGGTTGCTTTATGAGAACAGGCTGCTTTTCCATCTTGTTCATATTTGTTCCAGCCCAGCACAGGGCCTTACATAAAGATTTGGGGAGGGAAGGGGGAGGTGAGAGGGGGAGGCAAACATACATGAATTAGAAGATGAGATTAAAGAGTTGCATAGTTCTGTCCTCTAATGATACTACAGAATGTTATCTGTGCCCAACCAGTGTGGTTCAGTGATTGAGCATCAACCCCATGCATCAGGAAGTCACCAGTTCAATTCCTAGTCAGGGCACATGCCCAGGTTGTGGGCCCAATCCCCAGTAGGGGGCATGCGGGAGGCGGCCAATCAATGTTTTCTCTTGTCGATGTTTCTACTTCTCTCTTTCTCTCTCTCTCTCTCTAAAATCAATAAACAAAAAACATTTTTTTAAAAAAGAATGTCATCTGTGTATTAGTTTGGTTTTAATTTTATACTTTTATCATCTGACTTCTTACTAACTCTTCCTGCTCCCTTTATCTCAAGAATCAGGATGTCAAATTCAAAAGTAAATATTCCTGTCCCTTTTCATTAATAGATTATAATAGTCTGAACAATGATAAGGTAAAATAAGCCGTAAACATGCACAGTGCATGATGGAATCTGTATGCCAGTTTTACAAGCCCACCAAGGGTGACTACAATTTCTTAAAGAAAGGAACTTGATAGAATTTTGCTTTCAATGACTTTTATGAACATAATTACTTGAAAAGTTCTCTTATTTTGTTCCTTTGCTTTAACAGAAGCCCCTAATCAAAGAAGGTCAATCAAGGAGGAAAATTTGTCTTGTTAATCAATTCATCACTGAATTCACTTACATATCGATTCACCTCTTGCTCATTACCAGTCACATGGCTGAGAAATGGGCACCAGAGGGCAGGGCTGTCCTGGTTCCCTTGGGCAACAAAAGCTGCCTGGGGCTCAATCTCCTCTGGACAACAGGAAATTTGAACAGTGTCCACATCAAAGGGTAGTTGTGAAGATTATATTAGATAATCCATGTAAAGTACTTTAATCAGTGCCAAACAATAAAATTCAGTAAGCGGCAGCTGCTACAGTGATTACCATTGTTACTGTTGTGAAACCTGGGTAAGGCCTGGAGAACCTGTCTACCTGTCTATATAACAAAAGGAACACAACCAAGGCCTACGGCGGGGAGCAGGGGGGGGGGGGGAGGACAGGCATTTCTGGCATATAAACAGAGAGGAGGGTCCCTTCCCCGAGGATAGGACTTAGGGAGGAGGTGACACTTGTGGCCACGCACTCCCTGAAGTTCGGGTGTTTCCCACCTGGGCAGAGGACAAGAATCAAAAATACAAAGGCCCCTCCGTGAGGTGGACTCAATCCCAGCATCGGCTGGCTTTAGTGACCTGCTTCCAAAGAACAGAGGAGAGAAACAGAAAGACAGCAACTTCTGGCAGCGAAAGCTGGTGAGTCAACGCCACCTTAGCCTAGTGGTGAAGGTCAGCATCACTTGCGTCTCATGGATCACTTCGCGCTGGGAGGAAGTGACAAGAAGGGCACAGGGCCTCGGTGGGAGTCCTTCTAAAACTCGGTAATCCGAGTCTCATCATGAGGGAACCTTCAGACAAACCCAAACGGAGAACAGTCTACAAAATACTTGGCCGATACGCCTCAAAAA